CAAGCCCGGCGCCCGACAACCTCCGTTTAGCCTTCATTTTATCATTTTATTGCTTCATATGCCATGAATACTCTCAGCACACGGGATTCCTTTTCACACTTTTTTTTCTATTTATTTTGTATTAGAGCCACCGTATTTCGTACAAAACTACATCGGAAATAACAGCCTGAAATCTATGTTATTGAAGAGCGCAAAGAACATGCACAACGAAAAAGAAGATAATGTACTCGTATATGCATTACAAATAGCAGACGCAATGAAACACCTTGAAATATGTGATGTAAAAAAATAGTATTATGTTGTTATTTAGTTATTTAAAACTTACATAGTTTTATACAGTGAACCATTCATGTACATCAATTTAAACATTGTGTCGATTATGACAATTGTGCCTAGTCCCTGAAAAACTAGTTACATATATCATTTTATTTAAACATGGTTTAAGAACGTTTCAGATTCGGTGATATTGTTTTTGTTGCCTGTAGCTTGTACATATATGTCTTGAATCATGCAATATATTTTGGTATGCCCGACTACGGTGGCGTTGTATTACTTAATTATAAGATGTGTATAAGTGTTGTTTCCAATGTATTTCCTTTATAATCACAAGCACTTTTTAATCAACCATTTATACAATCTATTCAATTTAAATTTATTCAGATTGAGTCTATACTCTCAACAGATTACACTCAGAAACCTTTGCGCCGAAACTACTTATGTTGGAGAAGGGAACATCTGTAAGGTAACAAACATGAAGTCTGCCACCAGAAATACTACATCAACCACCGTAACTAATAATTGCGTACGTACACTTCTAGAAGAGTTATAATTTGAAATTACGACTCGAATTATCTGAAATCAAAATTGAATATAATAACATACTCAATATTCAAATCGAAAATAAAACAAGAGAAAATGGAAATGATCGAATTCAGTTCATTAAACCGGCCATATATTTAATGTAGAAAGCATTTCGCTTTTAATCAACATACACTTTAAATTAATAGGATGGAATTCAGCATCGTTGGAAAGCAGTAGAACTTTTTTCTGGTGATAATTATTCCTCTAAAACTGATGTTTGGGCTTTTGGTGTTGTTTTGTGGGAGATAAGTACTCTAGGTGAGTTATAACATCAAATATGTAATTATCTACAAATCATAAATAAAATATATAACATACACTTTCTTAGATAACTACGATTAGGGGTATTTGAAAATTAATATTTTTCACATCCATATGGAGACAAGTTGTCATATACTGTATATACCTGGTAGGCTATCCTTTTTGGTTTCTATACAGTGGTATAGTGCTTGATGACATTTATAGTTTTGGCAACGTTGTTGTATGCTAGTAGAATATTTTATTTAGTAGGAATCCCGACTTGCAGTACAACATTTCTTCCTATTATTATTGGATGAATATAAGCTTTCTGTATAATATAGTCTGAATAAAGTTAGCTGTGTGGTAATGTTGCCTAGTCTCTGTGAAAACATACATACATACAAATGGTAAATAAAAGCGCAAATTATGTACATAGATAGTTAAGTGACCAACGCACATCATTTTTGTATGCATTTTTGAAAACCATGTTTTCACGATATTTGTGTATATGGTATATTATGCGGTTATTTACAAAAATACGGAATTTTAGTCAATTTCACGCTGAAGTATTATCCGCTGTAGGATGGTCTCCGACGTGAATACATGTATTTTGTGCTTAATCTTGTTATTATACGTCTATATAAGTTGCCTTTATATAGTGGATAGTTTGCGCTTGACAACATGCATTTGCATAACATCGAACGCAGCTTCGGCTTCACCATCGCCGCACTAGCTAAAATCAATATTCAGTATCAGTCTTGGTGTACGGGGACATGATGCTCAAAATTACTAATACGCATCATGCTAGGAGGACTTTTGAAAACATAAGCTGAGGGAATGTCGGCAGTGGTTATCTACGAGTTCCGTCAAAGCAGCAATATCCCAGCCGCTGCTCAAGTTGATCGCACCTTCTGGTCGTTACTACATGTTATAATACTGCACATATACATTTCATAGACAGTTTTTATGAAAGCATAAATAGACGATTATGGTCTTTATTATGGCCCAATCGACTACATTAGTAGAGTTTTAAAAAATAATGATAAGATTATTAACAAAATGCCCAAATTGTAGCTTCGCATAGAGCGTCCGCTTCGGCATATATGCTGCTCAATTGATTTGTTTGTGTTTTCATTGACTAGATGCGGAGATTAAAGGGTCAAACAGTATACAATAACTCGTGTACAAAAACGGAAATGTTTGTAGTGGTCAGCGCCATAGAGCTTGGCGTATATTAATTTTCGTTTACTGTACTCAACTTTTTAGGTGGCGAACCTTACCAGGGAATGTCAGATGATGATGTAATTAGGAAGATACAAGCAGGATATCGAATGTCAAAACCAGAGCACTGTACCAGTAACCTGTAATTATTTCTCTATTCATTATGTTTAAGCTAACCTAGATTTGGGTGGATAAGAATTAAAAATAAACAACGAGACAATCACAATCTTGCATTCATATAGTTCATATTTTCTCTAATCGTTATTTGTAGATACAACTTGATGCTGGCATGTTGGAAAAAGATCCAAACAAACGACCGACATTCTCTACAATCGTAAAAACATTGCAAACTATACTAGAAAAGCAGTGAACCACATGTATAACTATAATGTATAAATCTTTATTGTGTATGCTAGTATATTTGTTACCGGAGCCTATGTACATAACTTATACATTAACTGTACTTTTTGACTAATCACACAATGAGTTGTTTCCCTTCTATTATAAATTGTGTATTTGAGAACAGAGTACAGCGGTTATTTGTTTACATCCATCCATTTTATTCTATTACAAATGCTTAATTGTTGTTATAACAGACCAGTGTATCTGTAAAGCAAGAGGGTAGGAAAATTCAAGACAGATTGTAGTAGGAGTGTTTTTAGATTTGTGTATATGTGTAGTGAAAACATGACTTTGATAATCCTGATTAAGAGACCTGTGTATTGGTACTAATACTAATTTATTAGTTGTTTTTGAATTCTGGTGAGCAAAATTGAGTGTAGACACATTTTTACTATTCGTTAACCACAATATATGACGATTATTTTGTCTTTTGCAGCATCGTTCTCTTCTCAGAGATCAACAGTACGTGAACATCAATTTTCATAGAAAATAGGATGATATTTTTGTAATTGGAACAGATGACTTTGTCGGCGATAATGCTTACAAGTGTTAATGTTACTCATCATCGACATTATATCCACTTTTATTTCACATCACTTAATTTGTGTGTGTTTTTACGATCATTAATTATTTCGTAGAATATTTGGCGGATTTGCATAATATTGCTGTACCAATTATTTCACTTAAGTTAAATAATCTAGATGTGTTATAATAATTGTTAATTGCAAATAGTATATTGTAATAACATTATTATATTAACGTAATCTAGGTTGACATAGATTCTCTAAGGAAATTACTGGGAAAACTACTGTCACCAACTAATTAATATAACCAATGGGCATCTTTTTAAGTTGTATTTTTCATGCTATGGCGTGTATTTTAGTAATAGTTTTTATTGTAAATAATTATTGTCAGACATAACTTTGTAAAAATTGCTCAGTATTTACATGGAGCTACCACAGAAAGAAGATTAGCAATGAGAATTACTCAAATTATTATAATTATTAAATCGCTTGCAACTCCTTCAAAAATCGTAATAAATGTAAATAAAATTATTATAATATTACAAAATACTATTTTCACAAATTTCACATGCACTTTTTTGCTTAAGTTTGGTCTTAAAAATCATCTGAATCTAGTTAAGAATACAGTAAAACTAGTATCTTCTTTTTCACAACTTGATCAAATTTTATTTTTCTAATCACTAAATACATCTGATTTTTTTACAATATCAGGCATTACGTGTTGTTTAGTTGATTGTGTAGATGAGACATTTACAAATGTTGCTTTATGGAAATGGTGGGAATTTGAGTGGGTTCCAGCATTTCTGCATGTTTGACTCTCCCAATTAACTTCTGTGAATCTGACTATCAGTATCAGAATATTTACTGCTCCCACTGCTGTTTCTAAAGCATGGCTAATTTTAGGTGATCTAAAATCTACATTGTGCTCAGAATGATCATATAGTGCCACAGCAATATGCAATACGACCATGTACATTTCCCAATTGCAGTCCTCATCACTAGAGCTAATATCTGATATCAATATTCATGTCAACATTTGTTGATCAAACTACGATTATCAAGAAACCAACAATTCAGCCCATTGTACTGACTATCCCTGAGTGAGATATGTGCTGTCTCCTGTGTCCAGTCGTTTATCTACATTGTGAAGGTAGCTTTTCATTTTCTGTGGATATTGGTGTCACAATTTGGCGATCATTTTCATCCTAACCATGAAAATGAATTCAATGACATTCCATCCTCTTCTCGTTAGACTGTCTTTAGAATTGTTTGTTATGCACCAAGTAAGGAATGTGTTGGGATTTGTTTTGGATGGTTTATCGGTAGTCAGGTAACGATATCCTATTTTATATATTAACATATTATTGTGGACCGTCTGTGTGGAATAATCCAAATCAAATTGTTGTATTTATAAACCTAGTTATTCTGTGAAAAATTGCAACAGCCGAAGTAATATGGTTGATGTTTTATCACTTTATACGTTATGGTATAAGTTGACGTAAACACTGGCCGATTTTGCTGTTCCGACTGTCCTTCTTACCTTCCTTCCTGGAAATGCAGCATGGTTCCATCCTTTGCTTTTACTGACTTCTTTCCACATAAGGTACAGAACTTAAAATATGACAAACAATATTAATTATTACCTACAGAGGATTCCGATGACAGAAATGTGCCTGCATTTTACCTATTTCAATTTTTTCACGAATAATAAACTATCATATATATATAAAACCATATTGTCACCACTTGTTGTTGGCGGCCCCTAACATTATCATAGTAATGCTAATTAACCTTTTTTACAATCGTTTGTTACTCCCTACCTGCAAAGGGAGCCATTGAAACGGCGTCTTTTTACGAATCACTACGATCGGTTACCTATATGATACAGGGAAATGTCGTGACATTGACAATTCACAATCGTGCGTCCCTCTACTCTAAACGAGTGCCTGAAATAGCACTAGACGTCTTTTTGCGAGCAATATCTGCTGATTAGAAACAATTAGACAAAACTGGCTGCGACACAGGTCTACCTGGTAACAGTGCCTAGTATTCATTTAACGATGTACACATATATAATGACAATGACTACCCCTTTTATAAAATCGAATATAGCTCGCCCTATAAGATCTTAGTTTCTTAAATTTAAATCTCTTATTTCCCGATCCAATACACACTGTCTGGCACGATTAGTTACGTCCTGCTTTCAACACAAACCCTGAAAATCGTTATCTTTCGTCTGTAAATAAAAAAGATGGAGATTTACACTAGCGTATCTTACACGGCGCATACCCTACTGCTGTTTTTTTTATTAAGGTCGCGCATTCTGTGATGAGGTCGATGACCTTGTGCATATCTTGTGTTGCAGACGAGCGTCACTCTACTATCCGGTTAATCGGATCATCAAACAAATATTAGATATACAGAACAAGATTATAGTATCATTATTAGTATCATTAGGGAACGGCATAGTACGCCACACCATGTTACATGCGATCACAATATATACAAATTAACGTTACAATCTATGCGTATTACATGGTGAATATTTTGAATACAAACGATGTCGCAATCGTCGGAAAACCATTTTTCGTTCGCGCACTGTGAACTTGCACTATTTTCGTCTTTATGTTCAGTATATTCTCATTTAACAGAACCAACATATCATTTCAGCAAATTGCAGATGGATTTAAATTATGACAAAAAAGCTTGAAAATGCCGCTAATGGCCCTTTAAAAATAAATGATATCATTTTCATCAAAAAGATATTAATTTTTTGGGTCTTATTTGATGCTAATGGAAACAAAATTATGAATATCCAACCATACTATCCCATGAATCCAGGGAATATATCTACATGTTACCAGGTTACACCATTTTTTTGCTAAAAAGGGTTTCAGTGTGAAAATCGGAAGTGTTGGCTAATTTTGGTATTTATGCCTCTGGCAGCCCAACCATATAAATATACAGATCAAGATCTAAAATTTAACTTGTTGTGTATAGGCTTCTTCCACTTTTATTTAATTAAACCTGGACTCAATTCTGTGTGAATTACATTGTAATTGAATTTCCTTAAAATTCAATTAAATCGCAACCCTATATAGAGTCACATTTTAATCCAAATATAACGCAACTATATTAAAAGTAAATTTAATGCGTGTCGTCACACCGATGCTAAGATGTGTACGTGGGTGTGTTTGTGTGTATATATGTGTGTGTGTGATGTGTCCTCTCCCATAGGTCTGCGTGCGACTATGACTTTCATCACGTACAACGTTGGAGTACATAAGGCTAACTGCGTCGCCACCAGTCTGCATAATCGTTGATCGTTTAAAGACAAAAAACAATCGGTAACGAGACATTGCATTGTACACGCACATACAAATACCACCAGATAACACATATGAAGTTTACTTAATATATTACGTTATCAGCCAGCATAGTTATCTAAGCATAATACATATTTATGTAATTTAATAAAACGTGTCCTTTGCATCTATGTATGAATATAATATTCTCTTGTGAAACTCATTCGTGTCACCCTGGATGTATTGAATTTCTGTTGCTTTTTAGTTGCACAATAACCAGTACCCTACACGGGAGGATGAAAGAATTTTTTTTAAATCTATTTACAGTGGGAAATATCTATCTAGTTGGAGCAAGCTTCAATACGTTCTCATGTTGTCGTTGATACAGAACTATGAATTAAATACACTGTTCTTATGAACGATTATTTCACTCGCTTACATGGAACATTAATAAACACTGTACATTGTACTTTGATTCAGACCACCCGAACCCATGTATATGTGAAAAGAATAGCTGAAATTCCGGCTCATAAAAGAGTTTCATATTAACGTCTATGTTGTTAACCAATTTAATGTTTGGCTATTTTGGTATTTAATGGGTGTGTCATCCGTATATTTTTACATCTGAGGGTACTCGATCAATGTGACAATCGACCTACAGTTACAGTAATACATAAACAAAAAATACATAAATTATTCAGCCCTAGATGATTTTTCTCTTCAAGTTTATATTCTGTTTTCTTATATTATCTTTGATTATTACATTTCTGGTGAACATAACACCCGTGTATCGAC